ATCTCAGAGAGTACCAAAGACCCCTCATCTCAACCTTGAGCTACAAATATTCTCCTTTATTGTTAATTTCTACAAAGTTCAAAATTATTTCTTACATAATATTTCCATGACTTGCAACAAATATTTTAAAATTACCTTAACCTCAGTAGAAGTTCAACAACATGTGTGAACGTTTTTTTAAAAATGCAAAGAAAATTATTTCTTCTGCCAGAACCAGATACATTTGAAAGAGACAGGAAGCATAAATTACATACAGGGAAAAAAAGATTTGCGTACAAACAGCTTTTACTAATATAAGGGGATTTTGGAGATTGACTAAGATTTGATAGCAAAAAGTATTCTTACATTGGTGGCTCGTAAGGTGTTCTAGCAGGATGTTCCCTAAATTTCATTTCATAAAAGTGGTAAATGATGTGAGACACCATCCCACCAATGATGAAATCTCCAGGCTGGTACCACTCATGTGGAACAAGGAAAGCATCACTTGCAGGGCAGCTCAGAGAAACTACTCTGTGCACCAAAAACATCAGAAGAAACATCTTCATGCTTTTGTTATTGTGGGGATGCTTTCTCTTCTATTCTACCAATAGGAAAGTATATATATTCCAATAGTTCATCTAAGGATTAATCCAAGGATTACATTTGAGAAAGCATCTAATGGGAAAATCTATCATTTTCTGCTTGAAGATCCATCTGAGTACAAATTTGTATCTTGAATACCACAAGGATTTGAATAGATATTTTGGCAGGAGAGAACAGAGCATAGAAACTTGAAGCAAGGAATCTGACAGAGCTCTTCATACCCCTTGTGCCAATTTCCCAGTGGTTCAAGACTTACTTTATAGCCAAACAAACACCTTGATTGTTGTTGAATTTTAATACCCTTCTGTGCAGCCTTTGATGCTTAGGCCATTTGAAGAAAATATGGTGATTCCTCTAGGAGATAATTATTTTGTTTTGATAAGATAATAAGTGGCTGATGCTTCGGCTATTTTTTAAAAAAATTATTTATTTATTTTAAATGAGCAAAGACCAATGAAAGTAGCATCAGGAAGATTTGCAATAGAATATATATTAAATTGTTGAAACTGTAGAAATAAAAATAGTGCTGTTTTTCAAGATACCACATTTATTTTCTACCAATATTTTCACAACATAGAATATGAACCGATCCAGCAGATATCAGTTGTTTATCATCTGTATTTTTTGTGAGGAGTTACAATACAGAACCTTTTAAAAGAATTACCTTAAGTTCACTTAAAAATCTTCAAAAGATTTCTTGCACCAAAGTTTCATACATTCTATTGAATGCTCCAACACTGGAAATTTTTAAGAAGATGTTGGATAACCATTTGTCTGAAGTGGTGTAGGGTTTCCTGCCTGGGCAGGGGGTTGGACTAGAAGACCTCCAAGGTCCTTTTCAACTCTTCTCTTCTCTTCTCTTCTCTTCTCTTCTCTTCTCTTCTCTTCTCTTCTCTTCTCTTCTCTTCTTCTCTCTTCTCTTCTCTTCTCTTCTCTTCTCTTCTCTTCTCTTCTATTCCATTCCATTCCCTTCCATTCTATTCTATTCTATTCCACGAAATCCAGCCTCATACTGTCCTCTGAAAATTGCTGGCCATTCCAAGATCAAGCAAAGGAATGCAGCCAGCTGAGTAGACAGTGACTGTTACCCAAACAATTTGTTAGCACATAGTTGGGCACTTCTTCATAATCAGAGGGTGGAAGGGAACAGGGAAAAGTTTACCATATACTTTGGGCATGAAAACCTCAGATCCAGCTTTGCTTCTTCTGTAACCATTTGTCTTTAGTAAAGTATACCTTTGGCTAACCATGGGCCTAAGAGTCTTTCTTTTCTGACTGACTAGGTTGGGACAGCTGACATTTATTTCTTCTTCCAAAACTAGAAACATTTGAAAGACAGAGAAAGCCTAGATCAGCAGCAGAAATAGTGATAGCAATGCCACTTACTTATTGTGCTTTGCAGCCCTCTCTACAAGGATGTTCTTTAAATTTCAATTCACAAAAGTGATCAACTATATGGGACACCATGCACCTTAGACATTAGCCTGCAATACTGCAATATTCTCACCACTGCACCAACATATCTGCAATGAGAGTTGCACTTTCTTTATAATTTGGGCCTTTTAACCTGCCCATAGAATATCTCCCCCCCCTCTTATCTATCATCTATCATCTATCTATCTATCATCTATCATCTATCATCTATCATTCTATCTATCTATCTATCCATCCATCCATCCATCCATCCATCCATCCATCCATCCATCCATCCATCAACCCACCCACCCACCTAGCTAGCTAGCTAGCTAGCTAGCTACATGTCTACCTTCATAACTATATGCCTATTGATCCTCTCCATCTAGTGAACAGTCAAAATGTTCCTCAAACTTTCTTCATCTTTGGAGTCATGTCCTCTATCAGAGAGGGGTGTACACTTTTTCTAGGATTTGAGCTGAATTTCAGCTAATGTTCTTGAAAAATGCCAGGCTTTTTATTTTAAACTAATTTGAATCACTCTTTCTAATGATCAGCATACACTTTGAGTAAAGCATGAAACAGAAGGCAGGATACATTTCATTTCATTTCACTAAATTTCCCCTATTATTAATATCTGATAACAGGTTGCTCTGGAAATAGATTTATGGGTAGAGGGTGAATGGTTATGACCCAATATGAAACCCTTTTTTCTAAATATACGTAAACGTACAGGATTAACAAACTCAAAAAATTTGACTTTTCAAAGGACCCCAACAAGTCCAAAACTGACATCATATAATATTGTGTTCAATACCTACTCATAAAATGATAATGAACCTTTCATTAAATTTATGTAGTGTTTTATGAATTGAAAGTAGAAAAACCATATTTGAATATGAATAGATATTTTGAATAGATATTTTGTATAGATATTTTGGCAGGAAAGAACAGAGCATAGAAACCTTGCAACCCTTTTTTCTAAATACATGCAAATATACAGGATTAACAAATTGAATAAATTTGACTTTTCAAAGGACCCCAACAAGTCCAAAACTGACATCATATAATATTGTGTTCAATACCTACTCATAAAATGATAATAAACCTTTCATTAAATGTATGTAGTGTTTTATGAATTGAAAGTAGAAAAACCATAAAAATGTCTCTGCATACATTGCACATCTCCCTCCCTCACCCCTCCCTTCTCTCCATACCTGTAATCTTTATCTATCATCTCCATCTAGGACAGGGGTGTCAAACTCAAGGCCTGTGGGCTGGATCTGGCCCACGGGGTGCTTACATCTGGCCAGCAGGGCTGCCCTGGAAACAGCAAAGAACTAGGTCATGGTGCTTCTTCCAGCAAAATATGGAGCCCAGGGGGTCTACACATGTTTTCGGCCTGGATGTCCCCCTTTAGCCCTCTGCCAGATAAAACAGTGCTCCCAACATGAGTGATGTCGAGCTGACCACGTCCACCAGCCCACCCAAGGTCAAACACAACCTTGGTATGGCCCGTATTGAAATTCAGTTTGAAACCCCTGATCTAGGGGAATATTCACATTTTTTTCCCTCAGATATTTTCATTTTTGAAATTGCTCCTTCTATCAGAGACAAGTGTACATTGTTTTCTAGGATTTGCCCTGGATTTCACCTTTGCTTTTATTAAAAAATGCCTTCTAATTCCATACTGATTGAAATCACTCTTTATTATGGTCTTTGTTCAGTACAACTTTGAATAAAGGATGAGACAGAGGAAAAATACATTCATTTCCATTTCACCGAATTTCCTGTATTATTGAAATCTGGTAACAGGTTGCAATGAAAATAGATTTATGGATAGAGTGAATGGTTATGACCCAGCATATCACTCTGCTAAAAAACTAATTCCCACAACACTGTCAAACTCTTTACTAAGATTGTATTACTGTTATTCTTCTCATCCTTCCTATTATCTATCTCCTCCCACTTATGACTATAACCATGTTGCTTGTATCTTTACAATTTATATTGTTTTATTTTTTCCTAGTATGATTTGATTGCTTATTACTAACCTACAATTATCACTAAATTCATTGTGTGTCCAATCACACTTGGCCAATAAATAATTCTACTCTATTACTTTCTATTCTATTCTAAACATATGGGATTTACAAACTCAATAAATTTTCATTTCAAAGAAACCTAAAAACTCTAAAACTGATATCCTATAAGGTAAACGTAAAGGTTCCCCTCGCAATATGTGGTAGTCATTCCTGATTCTAGGGGATGCTCATCTCTGTTTCAAAGCTGAAGAGCCAGCGCTGTTTGAAGAGGTCCCCATGGTCATGTGGCCGGCATGACTAAACACCAAAGGTGCATGGAACACTGTTACCTTCCCATCAAAGGTGGTCCCTATTTTTCTACTTGCATTTTTACTGGCTTTCAAACTGCTAGGTTGGCAGAAGCTGGGGAAAATAACGGGAGCTCACCCCATATGTGGCACTAGGGATTCAAACCAATGAACTGCCGACTTTTTAATTGACAAGATCAGCGTCTTAGCCACTGCAACCGTTCTGATATCCTATAATACTATGTTAAATATATATTCATAAAATGGTAAATAGCTTTAAACTATATTTATATAGTGGTCTATGAATTGAAAGTATAAAAGCACTGAAAATATATCTGCAAACATTGAACATTGCTTGAGTCAATATCTGAAATTTCTTAACAGGAACCAAGAAACCTATGTTATCAAAGTCAAGTTCAACAGAAGTGTTCAAATGGGGAAAGGATTAGATTAAAGAATCTTGGAAAATGATGGAAATGTAGCAACGTGAGAACTTATTTTGGAATGGCCAAACATAATAAAACTTAATAATCACAAATATCCTATATAAATCATTATTTAACAGAAATAAAAATGTCAATGTTTCTAAAATTGTATATAATTTTCCAGTAGGCACAGTCTTTCTATTCCTTTTTTGAAAAGTTTTGCTAAGTCAGAAAGATCACATGGGGTATTAGTTCCTCTTTATGAGTTGCTCCCTGTGGTTTAGCTCAGGCCGTACAACAATGATGTAGCATTTTGGCAGGAATATGCATCCCAGTAATGCAGCACTGGAGGACAAGATGGAGAAGACCTCCACAGCTACCATGGCTTTTCCTTTTGTGCTCAGATAGGCTGGAAAGAAGGAGATCCACACACTGCAAAAGGCCAACATGCTGAAGGTGATGAACTTGGCTTCATTAAAGCTGTCAGGTAATTTACGGGCAAGGAAAGCCACAATAAAGCTGACAATGGCCAAGATACCCATGTAGCCCAAGACACAGTAGAAGAAGAAAGCTGACCCCTCATTGCATTGTAAAATCATTTTTTGGAGCTCTGAATGCATGTCCAACTCAGGGAATGGGGGAGATGTTGACAACCAAAGGATACAAATACATACCTGGAAGAGAGAGCAGAAAAGGACAGAAGAAAAAGCCAATCTTTTCCCCACCCATCTCCTCATCTGAGATCCCGGTTTCGTGGCCATGAAAGCCACAACTACAGTGATAGTTTTGGCCAATACACTAGAAATGGCCACAGAGAAAGTGACACCAAACATTGATTGTCGGAGAAGGCATGTTATTTTGCCAGGTTGGCTGAGGAAGAGTAAAGAGGAGAGAAAACAGAGCTGAAGAGAGACAAGCAGGATATAGGTGAGGGATCGGTTGTTGGCTTTGACAATGGGAGTATCCCTGTGCTTAATAAAAGTTCCAAGCACCCAAGATGTCAAGAAGAAGAAACAAAGTGCAATTGAGGCCAAACCAATTCCTAAAGATTCTTCAAAGGTTAGAAACACCACCGATTTCAGGATACAGCCTTTCTTTTCTTCATTTGGATAATGATCATCTGGACATTCAAAACAGTCATCCATATCTGAAAAGAAAATTAACGAATGTGTCACCTAGACATTCCAAATTATTCAAAAATCACCTTATTATTTGTATGCATTGAAGTAGTTTATTAAAGTTTGCTTAAGTCTAATGAAAATTGGGAGAATCCCTAACCTACCATTTTGATTTGAAATCTTCCCTTCTGGGCATGGAACACAGTCATAGCAGCAGAACTGATTTCCCTCAATCCCCTTCTTCCAGGATCCGGGGAAACAGGGGTCATTACATCTAGAAAGTGGATGAACCTGGTGATAATTGTAAAATGTTTTGAAAAGGGAGATATTTAAAACAGTTTGTAATTTTTGTCCTCTACAGAGTGAAAATATTTTTGACTCCCAAAAAAATATTTAATTGATCAACTTCATCAACAATTTAAAAAGATGTGGAAATTACAATGATGTACAAAAGATCCTGTTTGAAGGGCAAGGGGTTTAAATAATTTAACAGGGAAACAATGTCATGGAAACATGGTCACTCTTGTGATTATAAATGGAAACGCAAATGAAATATGCAAGCAGGCTTTTATATTGTAATGTCATTTTGTCAATTTGACAAATGTTTGATCATCAACAACATTTGAAAGGAACATGTCATTGTTTATTTAAAAAAAAACAAAAATCGTATTTCTAAACAGACTGCATCCAATATGGGAGCATAATTGATTAATCATAGCCAATTCAGTAGTTCCATACCTGATTAAAAGCTGGGTGCCAGACAATCACATCTTCATCAATGAATAATTCTTTCCCCTTTGGAGCACTGGGATCTAAGGCTCCAACTCTTACTCTCTGAAAGGATCTGTTTGGAAAAGTGATCAAGTTGGTGATATCGAATCCACCTGTTGCTTCCCCTTTCTCATTCAGGAACACTCTCTCCCCAGCTGAATTGTTAAAAGAAATGCCTTGAAGAAATGAATGAAGCTACTTGAAAGAGAATGAAAGAGAAAGGGGGTTGAATAGAATGTAATAGAAAGGCCATAACAATTACTAAATATGTACACTTAGAAATTTGATAATTGGTATTTCATAGAAATGTACATGGCTACTCTATTATAAGAATGAACCAAAGCAGAATGAATGTAGGGTATTGGGATTATTCAAATTCCTTCAATTATTTAAGCAATAAATAATATTCCCTCAGTGGTATAAATATATTTGATAATCTGAAATATGAAAAATTTCCTTTAGCCAGATTTGAAAATTTGAGACTCATTCTTCAATACTGTGTTTCTCCAAAAAAGACCCCCAAAAGGATGATTAGGCCTTCTTTTGGAGGGTTCTAATTATTGACTCACCTCATGGCGGTGGCACTGACAGCCCCACCCAGCAGGAGTCTGCAGCTGGCTCACTTCTTCTGCGGCTTCTTGCCGCCACTCACAGGTATCGCCCTGGCCTCTGTTTCATCTTCAGATGCCTGCCAGATCAATCCAGAGCTCTGTTATCAGCTGCAGGTGCTTTCCAGAAAGCCCTCTGCAGCCGATAATAGAGCTCTGGATCAATCCAGAGGTCTGTTATCGGCTGCAGATGCCTTCTGGCAGGCATCTCTAGGTTAAACAGAAGCCAGGACAATGCGGGTGAGTGGTGGCAAGCGGCTGCAGAAGATGTGGCCACAGAAGGTGAGGCAGGTGTTTTTGTTTTTGTTTTTTTAATTTGATTTATATGCCGCCCTTCTCCGGAGACTCAGGGCAGCTTACAATGCGTTAAGCATTGGGGTGTTGGGGTGTGCGAGGCCTGGTAAGTAGGGCATCTCCAACCCCCCATCCCCATCCTAATTTATTTTTACCTTTGTGCCTCGCCCCACCCCCTGCACCCTTCATTGGGTGTGGTCTTAATTAGGAATAATTTTTTTTGGGGGGGTTAATTTGATTGCATGTGCTCAAAAATGTGAAAGGGCTTCTTTTCAAGGTGCATCGTCTATTTGGAGAAACACGACAGATAGATGTAAGATGGAGATTATTGCAAAGAATGGATTATTGATAGATAGATAGATAGATAGATAGATAGATAGAGAGAGAGAGAGAGAGAGAGAGGGAGAGACAGAGACAGAGACAGAGAAACAGAGAGAGATATATATGATAGATAGATATTATTCTAAAGCACAGATCTGAACAGAAACATCTTCTAATTCAGCGGTTCTCAACCTGGGGGTCGCGACCCCTTTGGGGGTCGAACGGCCATTTCACAGGGGTCGCCAAAGTCCTCTCTCGCCTTCCCCCATGCCTTCACTCACCCTCACCCTCTGCCTCTGTTGGATCGCCGGTCGCCGGTCGCTTACCCTGCCCACTCCCAATCTATTGCTGCCTCCGAAGTCCCAGCTGATGGCTAGAGGGAAAAAAACTGTTTAAATTCTTGCCGCGGGGCTTCAAAGTGCCGCCCTACAGCTGATCAGTCTTAAAAGGAAACAAATGAATACACCGGTGCCTGCAAAAATAGAAAAAACAGCCCCTTCCAGCTGCAGCATTGGTTAATTACCACAGGTTGATTTGATCAGCCTCCCGACTCTCAGCTGATTTGCTCTCAGCTGTTTTGTGGAGGGCTCTGTGGCTAGCTAGCTGCAAAGAGCTAAATTCCTGGAGCAGATTTTTTTTCCCCTAGCTATGCTGAAAAAGCGAAAGTGAAAGTAAAGCAGGGTCTTCGCTGCAACGTGACAAAATGAGGCAGAGAGAGATTTCTCTTTCTTTTTCCTCACCAAAGAAGATAGGTGCAAAAATACAAACAATGGGAAATTTAGGGCAAAAGAGAAGGTTCAAGATTTAAAAACACAAAAGAAAAAAAAGCTCTATTTAACTAGGAATTGTAATAATTGAGATATTATTAATTGTATATTGTGTTGAAAGCAGAAATGGTTAAGTTGTGGTTTGGAGGAATATATGGGGGAAATTATTTGGTTTATTATTATTGGTAAATATAATTAATTGATTTGTAAGAAATTGGATTGCATGGAAATAATTGGAATATTCATGTTCATATTGATTAATATACAAAAAAGACAGTTATATAACTAATTGATTTATATTAAAATGTTGAATTTGTATTAAACAACTGTATTACATAATTACATAATTAACCAATGTGAGGATGGATATAAAAATAGATGACAATGTGAAGGGGTATAATATAGAATAGAAGGGAAAAATTGAATTTGATTAAGATTAGAGATGAGGATGAAGGGTAATATTGTTTTTTAAAAAAAATAGATGAGGAATAAATATGGTAAAAAGGAAATATAGAAATTGTAAATTTAATTGAAATGACTAAACACTGTGTTGGAAGAAATATCTTTCTGCGTTCTGCTCCAAGTGGGGAAAAAGACACTGGAAACATGGAGACTGCTTGGAAAGATGGTTTAATGGTGGACAGGATCACATGGCTTGAGTTTCTGAACAGAAAAGGGGCAGATACAGTAAATCCTCGGGTTTTTATGCTCTCTCTGGCTTTGCATTTCTTGGGGCCCCGAAAGAGTATCCTGATTGGTTGTCAAACTCCCAGGGGGTGGGGGTCTTAGCTAGCCTTGCTGGCTGATGGTCACATGTGCTTCCCAGGTCACAAACTTCCCAGGTCACGTGTGGTGAGTTTCGGTTGCTAGATGGGGCCTATTGTGTTAGTTTCTGTTGCTATTGTGTTGCAAATGTCCTTTGACAAAGGATTGGCTTTCTGCCTCTGGCCCATTAACAAAGGGTGGGGAGCAGGAAGGTAGGAGCTGCTTTGTCTGTAAAAAATGCTTCTCCGTTTCTCATCCAGGGAAATATAATATTCTGCCTTTTTAATATTTCCCAAAATATTTCATTCTTCTAGGAAAGGGGTGAGTGCTAACCTCCTACAACTGTTTAAATTTGTGAACCGGCCAAATACTCTGTTCAAAGAAAATAGGTTGTATGTTTGTATGCGTGTTTCTAATTATTGCTATTTATTCCTATTTGTTCTCTTTTATTCTTTAAAGTTTAACAATTCATTCTTTATCTTAATATCTTTATATTTGTTTGGGGTTGGCTTTCTTTCCTTTCATCTTTTTTATTGTACAGCAATCATTCTCCTCAAACCTGCCACCTCTGTCTTTTCTTTCCTTCTTACTTTCTCTTTCCCCCCCTCTTCTTCTTCTCCCTACTTCCTCTTCCTTTCTCCTTCTCCTCCTCTCTTCCTCCCTCTCTTACCCTCACTCCTACTCTAATTAACCTTCCCTTCCTTCATCCCTCTCTATTGCTGTATCCTTTTGTGCACATGGACTACTCAGAGGGCTGAAAAAGTTATTTTTGACTGGTCTTCACACTTTTGACCAGTCCTCGAATTTATGACTCTCCTCACATTTTACGTTTTTTGCCCTATCTTATCACCATGGTGAAGAGAAGCAGTTGTGAAATGAGTGACATGATTGTTAAGAATGCTGCACGGGCATAAATGTGAGGATGGTCATAAGTGTAGGACCAGTCAAAAGTGCAAGGACCTGTCAGAAATGACTTTTTTCAACCCTCTGAGTAGTCCCTATACACATAGCCATGATCACGCGGTCACATGACCAGCTAGCCACGCCCACCCAGTCACATGACCTCCAAGCCATGTCCACAAAATAAACCACGCCCACAGAACTGGTAGTAAAATAATTTAGAACCCACCCCTGGTTGGGGGTCACCACAACATGAGGAGCTGTATTAAAGGATCGCGGCATTAGGAAGGTTGAGAACCACTATTCTAATTCATTCCTCTTGTATTCTGATAAGGACAGAAAGCTCAGCTTCTCAATCCTGAAAAATTCATGAGCCAGGAAGAAGTATTTGGAGAACTGATTATTTTTGGACAAGACAATGAAAAGTAACCTAAATTATCATTTTAAATATCTCTTATTGTACAAGCTATGGTGATTTCCTAGCTAGCTCTTACTGATACCTAATCAGGATAAAAGGTACAGAAGGGAACTAGATGGTCAGCCACACTGGGCTTAATTCTCATTTTAAAAGATGAAATGAAAGAAGGTGATGAAGTAACAGGATAGTTATGTAGGAGTGATTGTGCAATACTAGAATTTAATGTTCTGCAAGCAGAAGCAACAGAACACAGTCAACCTAGAGGCTTGGACTTCACAACAGCTGATTTCAACATACTTAGAGACAGCTTGTAAGAGATTCGATGGATTAGAATTCTAAAGGTGAAAACAACCCAAGAAACTTGTGAAACTTTGAAACGCGACATTATAAAAGCCCAGTCTAGCACAATTCCAACGAAGGAGAAAAATAAGAGATCTCAAAAGCAATCAGTATGGCTACACAAAATACTCTCTGATAAACTGAAAAAGAAAAAGGACACAGATAAAAAGTGGAAGGGGGGCAAGTAACCAAGGCAGACTATCAGCAAATAGCTCAGTCTTGCAAAAATGAAAAGGAAAGCTAAGGCTCAAAATAAACTACTTTATCTGTGTCTATTTTATAAAGAACAGAATAACAGAGATGAAAGGGAACTTGGAGGTTTTCTAGTCCAATACACTGCTCAAGGAGGAGACTTTATACCATGCATCCATAACTTCTGAAGGCAAGCTTTTCCACTAATTAATTATTATTACTGTCAGGAAATTTGTCCTTATTTATAGGTTGTTTCTCATACTTGACATGTAGAAATATTAAAACTTTGCACAATGGGTTCAAAAGATAACTCTACATCAAACTGCTTATTGAATTAAAAGAAGTGTCCAATGCAGAGAGAATACCTGACAAGCCTGGAGATCTAGATGGCCCATTGGTTTACCCATCATAGCTTTTTTTCTATTGAAACGTAATGTGTTCAGAGCCTGCAAAGCATGAGCCACAGCATAAACAGCATTGTAGACACTGTAGCTGTGGCCAGTCATTTCTATTTCAAACAAAGGGGCAGGAAGATCTTCTAGCTTCTTCTGCACAGGGCACGGATTACTATGCATTTCTTCTAATTCTGGTTTTAGAAATGAACAATCAAATGATTGTTCCCAAACATCCTGCAGAAACCCATCTCTGGAGACTGAAAGAGGATTGATGGTCTGAAGAAATTCCTTGAAACCTGCAACATCTGTTGAATGAACACTAAAGGAAATAGCTCCATGGAACATCTGGAGATCCCAACTGACTTGAAATCCAGATAATATGAAATCAATCTGTGCAGTCATGATCCACACCTTTCTAAACAATGCAGTTTCCTTGCTTTCAGGATCTATCATAAATGTGTAAGCTCTTAGTCCCAAAATTGCCCAGGATTCTCCATAGACGAGAAATGCATTGGCTTTGCTATTCATCATATTAATGGAGATAACTGAGAGTGTTTGATAAAGTTCTGGTATGTCTTCTGCATGGACTAGTTGGGAAAGCCTTTGTATAAATGATGAACATATTCCATTCTGTGAGAGTAAGGGCTGCATTCTCTGTAAGAAATTTTCTCCATTGTTGTTATCAACAGCAAAAATGCCAATCCATGTCCACTTGAAATGGTGAAGCAGTTGGATAATCCCAGTGTACTGATGGTCCTCTTTTGGGACCATGAAATAAAGTGAAGAGTGCTTACCGGTCTCAAATGCATCTTGAGCTAATGAGCCATATGTCAGCTAAAAGAAAGTGGAATAGTATTCTGTTGTAATCTTCAGTCAAATCTATTTTGTTCTTATCTGGTTTTCCTATGAAATACATCCAAGGAACATTGTCCTTAGAATACCTCTAAATATTACCGTAAAAAGGAATTTCTTGGAATTACTTCAAAGACATATTAGAGAAAAATTGCTTTAATAGATTTAAACTGCAAAGAGTGCTACAATCCATTCTTCCCTTAGCTATGGAATATCTTTGGATACTCACTTCCGGTATTTGGTATTATCGTTTCAGAAAAGTAGAATTAATTAGTAGACCTTTAGCCATGCAGATCATTTTAACACAAACCTAAGACTCGCCTTTGATGCTCATGAAATATTCCATAACAACAACATTAACAACAACAACAAAATATAGAATTTCCCTCTCAACCTCATCACAGCTTACTTGTGGAATCTTGAAGAAGTGTATAAGTTCACCTATATAAGATGAGATTTCAAAATCCAATCCGCCAATGATAGCCATAAGATTCTTCTGTCTCTCACATCTGTAGTTAGGGACAAATTCCTGTGATTTGAAAAGCAGGTCCAGAGTCATGCGATAGGTCATCCTTGCTTGTACGTAACTGTCATAGATGTGGAACCCAAGAGTGATGTTAGGTAAGATCTGAGAGTCCTCATTGATCTCCTTCACAGCAAAGGCCAAGGCAAGGATGTGTTGATGAAATTTGGTGATTACACTGCAAATGTTTTAAAGTGAAAAAGTAAGTTGACAATTCTCATCATTTCTGTATGAATAACGAACATTTATGACTGTATGACTGTAACCTTGTTGATGGGATCCCTACGATTTATATTGACTGTTTCCTAATATGATTTGATTGCTTATTTGTACCCTATGACTATCTTTAAGTGTTGTACCTTGTGATTTTTGATGAATGTATCTTTTCTTTTATGTACATTGCGAGCTTATGCAACAAGACAAATTCCTTGTGTGTCCAATCCCACTTGGCCAATAAAGAATTCTATTCTATTCTATTTCTTTCTCTGACAGTAGTAAAAAGATCATCACTATTCTAAAGTTCTTAATAATTTCTACAGAGGGTCCTTGGTGCTCTCTGAGCTTGTTGGCTTTCTTGCAGACATTTCATTATCCAAAATAGGTAATACCATCACTGCCTGGCAATGAGGATGGATGATGAAAAGTCTACAAGAAAATAACCAATCTCAGAGAGCACCAAGGACCCCTCATTTCAACCCTGAGCTACACATATTCTCCTTTATTGGTAATTTCTACTGAGTACACATTTACAATTTTACACAATATTTCCATCACTTGCAACAAATATATACTGCAACTAATACAAGTAATGACTTTTGTTCAAAATACTATATTTTATACAAGATTTTCAGAACGTGTTATATGAATACTTTAATCAGGTGTCACTCATTTATTTATTTTATTTATTTATTGGTTTGATTTATATGCAGCCCTACTCCAGAGACTCAGGGCGGCTTACAATGCGTTAAGCAATAGCCTTCATACTTTTGTATATACCTGCTTAGTAGGGCTTTCAGCCCCCCCCAAGCGGTGTTCTTTTTTATACAAAGTCAGCTTTTTGCCCCCACAATCCGAGTCCTCATTTTACCTACCTCGGAAGGATGGAAGGCTGAGTAAACCTTGAACCTGGTGAGAATTGAACTCGTATTTATTGTATGTATGTTTAGTGTGGAGAGATAATGCCAAACCATTTTAAAATTATCTTAACCTCAGTAGATGTTCAACAAGGTGAGTGAAACTCTTTAAAAAATGTAAACAAATATATTTCTTCTGTCAGAACCAGATGCATTTGAAAGACAGAGAAAGCAAAGGTTTGTGCACAAACAGCTTTTACTCATATAAGGGATTTTTGAGATCAGCTAAGATGAGATAGTGAAGACAAATTCTTACATTGGTACGTCGTAAGGTATTCTAGCAGGGTTTTCATCAAATTTAATTTCATAAAAGTGGTAGCCCATGTGAGTCACTATCCCACCAATGATGAAGTCTCCAGGCTGGTACCACTCATGTGGAACAAGGAAAGCATCACTTGGAGGGCAGCTCAGAGTAGCTACTCTATGCACTAAAAACATCAGAAGAAACATCTTGATGGTCCTGTTATTGTGGAAATGTTTTCCTTCCATCCTACCCATAGGAGAGCATATATAATCCAATACTTCATCTAAAGATAGATCTAAGGATTATGTTTGAGAATACATCTAATGAGAAAATCTATCATTTTCTGTTTGAACATCCATGCGAGTACAATTTTTTATCTTGACTATCACAAGGATTTGAACAGATACCCTGGCAGAAGAGAACAGAGTGAGGAAACCTGTAGCAATGAATCTGACAGAGACATTTCTACCCCTTGTACCAAACTCTCTTTATAGCCAAACAGATACCTTCTGATTGTTGAATTTCAATAGCCTTCTGTGCATCCTTTGATGTTTTGGCCTACAGTAATTCCTCTAGGATATAATTATTTTGTTTTGATGAGCTGGTTTAGCTATTTTTTTTTTAAATGAGCAGATGCCAACAAAAGTAGTATAAGGGAGATTTGCAATAGAATATATAAAATAGAGTTTTTTTTCAAGATACCACATTTATTTTCCATCAATTTTTCACAAAATAGAAAATGAACGGATCCAGAAGGTATCAGTCATTTATTGTAAGCATGTTTTATGGGGAGTAACAACACAGATCTTTTTTAAAAATTACCTTAAGCTCTATAAAACTCTTCAAAAAAATATCTTGCACATAATTGTTCCCAACTGAGGAAGAGCTGATTGATAAGATTTTAGAATGTGCTGAGATGGACAGATTAACAAAAGAAATTAAGGAAAAAGAAGAGACAGACTATTATAGAATATGGAATAAAAGGTATAATTGCTTGCTCAAAACTAACAATAAGGAACAATAAATATAAGGAGAGAAGATTAGAAATACAATATATACAGGGGTGAAATGCTCCCGGTTCAGACCGGCTCGGGTGAGTAGGTAGCGATGGCGGAGGGCAATTTGGAGAACCAGTAGCAAAAATCCCTGCCCCTTTCCCCCATGCCCAGCTGAGCCGCGCGATCATCAGAGCCTTTTCTTTTTCTTTTAAATGGCTCAGACGAGCCAAGCTCTGATGATCCAAGCTCTGACGATCCCAGCTGAGTTGCCTGCTAATCAGGCAACTCAGCTCGGATCGTCAGAACCATTTAAAAGAAAAAAAGTTTTTTTCTTTTAAATGGCTCTGACGATTCAAGCTCTGACGATCCCAGCTGAGTTGCCTGCTAACCGGCAAAAATCCCTCTCCCCCTCCGCCCCCAACCTCCAGCTTGCTTACCTTAGCTGCTGGTCACAAGACCTGCCTTGCTTCGCTTGCTATAATACCTGCAATCCATTGCATCAGCAAGCAACTGAATCTCCCTGCCTGCAATCAAGCTCATCGGTGAGCAGCTCTATCTGCCTGCTTGCCTTCCTGCCTGCCTTGTACCTTCTATTGCAGGGGTCTCCAACTTTGGCAACTTTAAGACTTGTGGACTTCAAGTCCCAGCAATGCTGGCTGAGGAATTCTGGGAGTTGAAGACCACAATTCTTAAAGTTGCCAAGCTTGGAGACCCCTGTTCTATTGGGTAAGTTTTTTTCCCCTTTGGGAGCTTTAAAAAAAATAGTTAATTGGGTTTTTTTTTTTTAGTTGTTCTTTTTTTTAGACTTAGCCATTTAAAGTTTAGGAAGTTTTAAATTTAGCTGCTTTTATATAAAAATAAAACTAAAATAATATTTGTGCAGTTTTCTGCGATTTAGTGTGTTTCTGTAGTGTTTCACTCTACACAAACACACAAAATCTCACAAAGCTGTATGTGGAATTTTGTGTGTGTAAAGTGTGAAAGTTGGTTTTTTTGACTTTTTGTGGCTGTGTGAGGTTCCTGCTTGTTGCAGGGTTCATTTTGGGTCTAGCACAGCTGCTTTTACATTGTGGGTGAGCCAGTTGTGGTGTGTGTGTGTGTAAACTGTGAAAGTTGTTTTTTTGGGTTTTTTGTGGCTGTGTGAGGTTCCTGCTTGTTGCAGGGGCCATTTTGGGTCTAGCACAGCTGCTTTTACATTGTGGGTGAGCCAGTTGTGTTGTGTTGTGTTTTTTAGGTTAAAAAAGAGCAAAGAAGTGACATTGACTTGGCCATGCCCACCCAGTCACCTTACCACCAAGCCCCGCCCACTAATTAAGCCACGCCCACAGAACCGATATCAAAAAATTTTAGATTTCACTCCTGAAAATATATATATATATATCTCACATGTATGGAGTGGAATAAATATATATATAATATAAATGTAGAAATGTATAATAGTAAAAATATAACTAAAATATATAGTTCTCTATAGGGGGAAGGGGGAAAAAAGGAAAAGGAAGGGAAGAAGAGGGAGTAATAAATTAAGAAATAGAGGAAGAAGAATAAAGTAATAGATGGAAGACCGCTATGAAGCAATGCTTAAAAAGGATAAGTTATTTATATGTTGTATGTTGTGTAAATGTCAAATATGTGTTTTAATCAAACTACAAATTTTAATTAAAAAAATGTCTTGCACATTCTCTGATAAACTCATTCATATATTCTAAAGAATGTTATTTCTTTTCCCACATCTAGAAACATTTGAAAGACAGAGAAGTTATAGATTAGAAATAAAGCCTACATTTTTGCTCAAACACCTTTTACTCATTTAAGAAATTTTGGGGAAATTGGCTGAGATTATAAAAAGAAAAAAAAAAACTTTTACAATAGGATGTCTTTTTTTTTTTTATTGAAAAAGTTTTCAAATACAAATTTTCCCCCTTTTTTCTCCCCCTCCCCCTCCCTAACCCCCCTCCCCCCATCCCCCCCTGTGACTTCTTCATAACCAAAAACCTAATTCATAACAGATTACTTACTCCCACCTCTAAATACTGACCTTTACTTACTAGAAATATTATTAATATTATAACATCCCCCTTTAGCCATACATTTCAAGAAAGAAAGAAAAACATTATACTATAACATTGTATAATAACTTCTAATTTAGCATAGTATTATTATAACTCCCAATTTGGCAATAATCTGCCCTTTTTCTCCTCTCCCAAACTTATATCTATATATTATTACAACAATTCAAAACCACCTTCCACTTTAAAACTATACAATAAATCCTACTTTAGCATTTAATCTTTTATATATATTAATATAACATTTCAAAGCGGCCTTCCCCATAAAACCTAATTTAACATTTATTCAACTCTATCCATTTCCTCCACTCCCCTAAATATATCACTTAAACATCTCTTTTCTTAAACTAATCAGTCTGTAAATTCGTTTATTCACCCACTTTCCTGCAAAATTGCCGTGTACAACAATTCTTAATATCTTTGATTCACTGCCCACTCTGCTTAAATATATATATACATATATATATATATATATATATATATATATATATACGTATATATTCCATTATGTCTAAATAGAAAAGAAAAGACAATGACTTTAAATTTATAGTCCATATAATATCTTCTTTGAAGTCTTTCCACTGGATTATTAAAACCATCATCCATAATAGGGTAACATAGCTTCCTGATGCAACAGTTTGTTCAAAATCTTCAATCATATCTGCCCCCATCAGTAGTAGATATCCTCATATGTATATAAAAGTAAAAACAACCACCCGAGTGACATTATAATTATATTCCATATAGTTGTAATTGTGGCTTTCATCAGGATTTTTGATTCCCATCATCCTAGTGGGTAACAGCCAGATCTTCTGCATGCCCCAACCTAACTCTCTTGCCTTATAACTCAAGATAGTTATAATATATTTATCGATACAAAAAAAAAAAAAAATCCAAAGTAGATAATTCAAATCCAACAGTTTAAGGCTCTTTTCACATCCCAGAATTACGGCAATGCAGAGGTCTGTCACTGTCCTCAGGATAATATTGACCAATACTTCGCCTCAGCTATCTTTTCACATATTCATTCATTTTTTAAAGTCACTGGCTTCACTGTTGCTTGATTTAGAAATTTCTATTTTTGTGCGACCTATTTCTTTTTTTCTTTTCTTTTTGTGGGTTTGATTTCCATCCTGGTTTCCTTTCTACAGGTTGTGTATCAACTAATCGGTTTTCATTCTGCTTTATAAGTTGATCTTGTTGGTTTTGTTTTTGTATCTCATGTTTCTTTTTTGCCCCTTGTATATCATCTAATTGGTTTCCATACTTGTCTTTGACTTGATAAGTCATCATGTTAGAGTCAGATGCCACTTCTCTCAAATTTGTAGATAATCCAGCTGGGGTATCCAAAAGATCCAAAGGCAATTTATCTAGTGCAGTCTCTGTAGTTCGATATTTTCCCTTTATTTCCAACTCCTTTTGCTTATCCTGTATTATGCTTAAAGATGTTAAGTTCATTTTCAAAATGTTTTGATAAAATTCTTCCGCTCTTTCAACAGTATTTAGCTGGTATCTTTCTCCTTGATATCTCAGTATAATACCAACTGGGGCGTCCCACCTAAATGGGATATTTCTTTTTTTTAACTCAGTCACCAGAAAACCAAATTTCTTCCTTTCCGTTAATATCTTGGGTGGGAGTTCTTTGTAAATCCAAATCTTTCTTCCATACAATTGCAAATTAGAATTGAAGGAATTTTGCACAATGTTATTCCTAATTTCTTTATCTGTAAAATAAATCACCACATCTCTAGGCAATTGCCTTTGCTTTGCAATCCAGGAGTTTATTCTGTAAACTCTGTCAATCCTAGAAAACACTTCCTCAGGTTGAACCTTTAAAATCCCAGCTAGAATTTCAGAAGATATTTTCCTTAAATCATCTCTGTTATTTTCCTGCAAACCTCTCAGTCTTATCGCATATTCAGTGAAATTATATTGTACCATTAAAACCTCTCTTTCAATCCTCTGTTGCAGATTTTCTACATTGCCAGTCTTTTGATCAACCTCCATTTTAGGTTTTTCTTCTGAGCTATTATCTTGAGTATTTATCAAATCATTTTCAATTTTTTGAATTCTATTGTCCAAATTATCTTGAGTTTCTTCCATTTTAGACTCTAATAACTTAGTATTTGTATCCAACTGTATCATAAATTCTGAGAAGCCATTAGCCATTTTTAAAAT